GGCGATTTTGGAACGTAAAAGCACTTAGTAAGAATAGTTACATAAGTTAACAATAGAAATTCTTTTGGAAAGGATTGGTTGAGTCACATTTAAGCTCTTCAGAAATAATTTCCTAGACAGGTTAAGTAGAAGAGATACTTGGTCGCGTTTAAGAGGTTTTATGCTTACGTAATTCTTGGTCGCATGATGAAACATGCTGAAATGAGTGCATCATCCTCTGAGGAATGAAAACGCACGAAGCCCGTTTCGTTATTTAATTTTTCAGAGAATGTTAAACCATACCAGTCAGTGATTTCTAATAATAATGAAATTATCAAGCACCAATTGGGGACTGAGTTTTAACAAAAGAATATGCAACACTAACAAATATTCATGAGCAAATAATTTTAATTTATTTATAGTTATTTACAGTATTTTCTTATATCACCGTCAAATAATGAGCTGCATAATTTAGGTTTAAAATAACATTGCGAATAATGATTATTGGAGAAGTCAAACAAAAGGAATCAGTGTAATATTTGATTTTTGTTGTTTGACTTCTCCAGTTAGCTGCATATTTAAACAGATAAGAGTATTATTTAAAGATGACGTCACACCAGGAAGCAATGGGAATGCTACCATTGAATAAATGCGTGCTAAATTAGAGAAATGTGAATGGTAAATAGATGCATGACAGTTTCTGAGGTTACAGAAAGAAGTATTACGTAGATGAAACAAAACAAAAAAAAAAAAAAGAACATTCTTTGAATACTAGGGATGCCGATGGTCTGTACCAGATGGATACCCATGATGTTGATATCCAAAATGAAGATAGTACATCGATCTCTAGAAATGCTGTCCATGATAAATGCTGATAAAAAGCTTCATTCACAGCTAATGATAGGACATGAATCATGGCTTCACTACTGTGATCCACAAAAGGAACAAGAGACCATGGTGTGGAGCAACATTGAGTTCCCAGCGATCTAACAAGCTCAGATCCCATAAATTTTCAGGACTATTTTAGGTACTATGCTATGGGATGAAAACACGTTATGTGACACATAATTCCACGATAACATCGCTAACATGCTGACTCAGCTCCGACATGCTACAAAGGTAAAGCGCTAAAGAACATTCTTTGAATACTAGGGATGCCGATGGTCTGTACCAGATGGATACCCATGATGTTGATATCCAAAATGAAGATAGTACATCGATCTCTAGAAATGCTGTCCATGATAAATGCTGATAAAAAGCTTCATTCACAGCTAATGATAGGACATGAATCATGGCTTCACTACTGTGATCCACAAAAGGAACAAGAGACCATGGTGTGGAGCAACATTGAGTTCCCAGCGATCTAACAAGCTCAGATCCCATAAATTTTCAGGACTATTTTAGGTACTATGCTATGGGATGAAAACACGTTATGTGACACATAATTCCACGATAACATCGCTAACATGCTGACTCAGCTCCGACATGCTACAAAGGTAAAGCGCTCTGGTAAAGTGAGCGTTGCTTTCACATAAAACCACATCCACATACAAAGATCAGATAGACTGTTATTCAACAATGAGAATTTCAGTGTCTTCTTAATCAACCACGTTCCTTAAATCTAAGCATTCCTTTAGGGCTATTTTAGTGATTCTTTTCTTCCAAGTGATCTAATTAATTAGTCTTCGTCTAATTTCATTTTGCTTTACAAATTCGAAATATGCAAGTACTTCACTTTACAGTAATGATAATTGTTTGAATTATACAATTTAGGTACAGTTTGAAGAGCATTTTTTGAAGCTGTAATCTAATTATTAACGGATCGTTCAGCTAAGCTCTTTGAAGTCAAGGTGAACTATTTAGAAAAATGAGAAAGCAATTTTAGGCACTTATCTCTAGAGCTCCTAAAACTTACAAAACGTTTAGTAGCTTTCAAATTTTCAGTTAGTTTCTTTTACCGAGTTAGAATTAGCTTGATTACAAGTTGATTTCTTAATATTATTGGAATAAGCCTCGGCTGATTCTAACCAAGGTGTATTCCACTGAAGTTTCAAATTATTATTTTTTTTTAATTTCGCTTTATTATTTACTTAAATGATAAAAAATAAGAACATTTCAAACTTACTACAAAGGAGACTACATAGTAAATATTTAATGTAAATCCATTTGAACAAAACATTTAGGAAGGAAAGCTATTTAATTTGAAATTAACAGACTAATTCTTTTACGTGTCGAAGTTCGAAAGAAGTTAACTCGTATAAACTTTGTCTCCTGACCGTAGTTTAAATAACATTTAAGTATCATTTTTGCTAACATCGCCAAAATTTATTGCTTCTCACTCATATATCCCATATTGATTGAGAAATTAAATGCTATAAATGAGCATGATGTTTCATGAAGCATCTACACACGAGATAATAAAACTTCAAGACAATTACTTTTGAGAATTCGTTTAGTACCTGCTAGTATTCTATTCCGCTTTACGTGAAATTTTGTACCTGGAATACTTGTTGTTGTTATGACATATCTTACTTTGTCTGAAAGTAACATCAGAAAAAGCCCGCGAAATTCATCATGGCAAAGAGTGTAAGATTGCTCTTCTTGTTGGCAAGAACCTTGAGCACCATGTAATTGAGAGTACGACTCAGTTCTGCCCCAATTCTGATGGACAGCACCGCGGGAGGACGGGTACGAAGGGTCTCCCAGCCCTCTTTGTACTAACCTCTACAACCCTAGCAACCTCTCGTGAGGACTTTCGACTCGCCTCAAACATCTATTCCTTCTCCTGGATTCGAAACCCGGCTCTTCGTTACGGCAGCCATCGTCGCTAACTTATATCCCGGTTGGGCGGCTTGGAGTACTTAATATAGCTAAGTCACAGCTAACCAGTCTGGTCAGGAATAAGATGCAGAATGCAATAACGAGTATTCCATAATTTTTAATTATTCTGTGACAGACAAGCTGAAGTAATACGTTCTTAGGTACTTATACGAATACTTTTTATACACTTTTCGTTTATTGCATTGTAAGAATTATGTTAATTTTATTAACAGTTAAATTTCAAGTTAAAATTCCTTTCCTGTTAAATTCTTAACTTCAAATTACTACTTCTGGCCAGAACGTAGTTTTGGAATCTTGCTGAATATTTAATGAGGAGGAGCGGTATTTAAACCACGAAGTTACTTGCTAAGTCAGAGAGAATCAGAGTTTCTGATTTACGCTCGTCTGCCTTTTTGGCCGCTCTCTCTCTCAAAGCTGTTATTACGCTCGGCCGTACTCAGGCCCTTGCTAAGCTTCGTAGTCAAATAGGTTAAGGGGCCAACTCGATCTGAATCTTGATAGCTTCGGCTATATTTCGTTAGTTAATCTTAGTTTTAGTTTAATTCTTAGTCTCTTAAGTTCAAGCCCAAGTGTCGGCTTGGTTTGTACACTCCCAGGCGGAGTTTTGTTAAATCTTATTGGAATAATAAAGGGTTAGTTACCCTTCTATCTTATTGTTTCTTGTCGCCTGAACTTAACCGATTATTCACTTATCAGTTCTTAAGACTCGTCACTTTCTACAGTAACTGAGATTTACACAGTGAAAGTCTTACAGCATACATAAAATCATCAGAAGAATGTTAGGTACACTGACACTAAGAATCCCAGAGACGCAATAGACAAAGGCAGAATAAGTAGTGTATTCTAAATTTGACATTTTGTGTATTAAATCTGCTACCTTTTAAGCCTTTAGTGACATTTGAATTTTCCTGCGACTAAGGGATGTGACCATTTTAACATTGTGTAATGTAATTAATGTTAATAGCCAGTTATGTTATTGCTGCATTCAATGAGTTCGTGCATTTCGAGTAATTGATGATTAACTTGCCGAAAAATCAAAACACAATTTATTCACCAATAAGCACTATTACACAGGACTTCCAAAGACACGTTTACACTCATCGAAAAACTACGATAAACACGCTGAAACAATCAGCAGCACAACCTTCAAGCTTATAACGGTGAAGACAGCTTCACGGCAGAGCGCTGCTCCCGATTCGATCGATTGCTCTCATGCTAATCTCTGAACTCAAGGCAGTATTTTATCCCCATACAGTGAGGGTATTATTTAACCCACCTTCGAGAATATTCTCAAAACCGTTAAAATGTGTTCTAAAATGTTCTCGCTCCGTCTATGACACGTCGCGAATTTTTTGCAAGGCAATTTTGCGCCAAATATGACAACCCAACTTTTTATGGTTCTTTCTGGCAACCCTAAGGCCACCGTTGACTCACGCTGATCAGCCCGCAGACTTCTTTCTCTGCTCCGTTGGAGAAGCTTTCTTTTCCCACCTGCTTTGGAAGTTATCCCACCGCTCAGCCGCTGGGCATTTCACAACATTATGTTTTGGATCTTTACTGTCACTTCTCCCTTCCGTTTTTCTGCCAGAATGCAATTTAATTCGCGTGTATTTAAGGTTAGAGTTTTGGATTTTAATACAGAGCGTGTTTTGCCTCTCAATACCACATTACTAAGTTGCTAGATAGGATAAGAATTGCAGTCTTCGGCCTTGTATTATAACTGTCGATAGTAAATATCTATGCCCATTATATTTTGAGACAACTTCTTGTTAAGCTGTTTAGTGTAGACTGCGGCTACCACCTTATTTGAATTGAAATTTTAAAATCGACTTACTGTACTTAAGTTATCTCGCCACAAACCTGAGTTGAAAGTACAAAGTGGCCTTCTGTTCTTATTTAATTTTAAATAAAGGTTCTTTCACACACTTCTCAGGTTTCAGTTTCTCAACTTAAGACTTAGCTATGATTCGCTGCCAGTCTGTCTAAAGTTTAATTATAGTTTATGATAGCCACATCAATGGATAGTATTTGTGTCTGCAACTAAAAATGTTTCGTTGCCAAAATAAGTTTCTAAAATCTAGATCTGTTTCAAACTTTTTTTAATATTTATGCCTTTTTTGAATTGCACGTACTACAAGAAAGAAGATCTGCGTGATCTCTTTTACAGAGATCCTTTATTTTTTTAATGTTTTTCAAAAACTAGGGAGTCCAATTCGATCAATTAAAATTTGTAGTAATATAAATAAAGTAAGCTTATCTGGTAAACCGACTTACAAAGTAAGTTCAATCTATTTTAAACTCAATATTATGTTTCAGAAAGAGTAAACTGTAGTAAAGAGTAAATTTCTGAGAATAAACTGTAAACAAATTTGACTGATGATTCTGTCAGTAGATCTATATAAAATCTTACCGGCGTAGTATTAAATAATAATTAACTTCGCCTAGTCAACTTCTTAAAAAAAGTAGTTGGACATTTGGGAAGTAAATTTCTTCTTTAAACTAATCTCATTATTTATCTGCTGAAAGATATGAGAAGTATAGATTACATTTGCTTGTAAACGTATGAGGTTGTCAAAAATTTCTTTTTATATTTGTTTACGATAATATAATAACAAGCAGAAAAGTGGTAGATACTTTTTTAAGTCTTAGGAAGTCAGATAATAGTGATGAAAAATATAGAAAACGCTAAATGTGTCTTTTATTGTATATTCTGTTTATTAGTCAAAGCTATTAACGATTCGGAAAGCACATTTGACAGGCAAAATAATTATTTGAAAACTTCTATACAGGTGATAACCAATAGCATTGGTAGCAATTATTATACAGGTGGGTAACCAATAGCACCCAATATGAAATAATGAAGCTCATTAACGGGAATATTCAAATGTCATTAACAATCGTCTAAACGAGCCGTTTGCGTCCAAACTGAAAATTAAATTGTTACATCTTATGTACAAAATGTATGTGATATTTAAACAAAAGCTTTGAGGCCAGTTATTATTTTGGCTAATATTTTTTTTTTTTTTTTTTTTTTTTTTTTGGGCGTCAACATAAAATTCTGTCAAAATGCTGTGGTTTACAACGAGCGAAAAATAATAATCAGAAATTTCAAGAACAATTTATTGTTAAACACAACGTAAATAGCATAAATGTCAACTAGGAAAAAAAGAAAAAAAAAAAAAAAAAAGAGAGGCATATTTTTTTTTTAATTTTTTTATTTATTCTGACCCTTTTAATTTGAACTAAATATAGTCAAACAGGTCACAGTTCCATCTTTCTTTATATCTTTTCACTTTTTATGCTTTTAATTCTTATTTATTGTATTTAATTCGCAATACGTTATAAGCTTGGCGATATTTGCACCGATTTGTTTAACTTAACAAGAATAGATCACTCTGAGTTTTCATTAGTAATCGCAACTGACGAACTAACTCTAATATGGATTCTTCTGAACTGCCTTCTGTGTTCGTTTAACCTTAACTTGAGATAATTAGAAATCGATGACGCAAATATTTGGTATGCAATGTACATAAAGCTTAATGGTTTTCGAAGTCAGCTGATTTCTGTTTAATTAAACACAACTCCCTTGATTTCAGAAACAGCTTTCAACGCAACAGCAGATCAAACATCATAGGGTCTGATAGGGTTACTCTTGAGCTGATCTCGGTATTCATTTCAGCTTAAAACTAGACAGCCAATTGAGATAATGATAGTTGGTAAGGGCAATGACTTTTTTGTTCGCGTTGCTGCAGTTAAAATGATATTGACATGTACATGTTTTAAATTTTGTAAATAAATGCTTTATATGATAGTGTAGATTAAAATCGGACGTTCGAATTGTAGAGTCATTAGGTTTTTATGTGAAAAATGTGTAATATCCTCCCCGAGACTCAAACCCTGAACCTCTCGAATACTCATCAAGTATGCTTCCAATTACATCACAAAGGCATGCGCAAAGAAGGGAGAAAATACCTTATAGAATTTTTTTGAACTGTGGTTAAAAATAATCAAGATTAGATAACTCTAATCTTTGCAGCATATTCCGAATATTTCGAATCTTCACATAAAAGAAATTAAACCTTTTAACTCAGAACCTTGTTAAGATTAGACTTATTGACATCCCAAGTAAGAGCTCATTAGAAAAGGAACCTCGTCGTTGAATTTCCAATAGTACTTGGGTTACCAGTATCACACTTACATACTACAGGCTTGTATATCCCACTCTGAAACTGTTTAGAGTTTATGTATGTTGAGTCACTTTTATACTTGCTTTAACTCAAAAAGATTACCAAAAGATGCAAAACCTGATTTACTTCCCAAACATCTTATGTCAAATTATATAGACGAAATCGACCGGAAGAATGTCATTTATATACTTCATTTATTACATTTCATTCGCATTTTTTTTAATTAAATTTAAGTTATTTTTAAAACTTGGACTCTTAAATCTGTCTTACTTTAAATGCAAATTTAAAATTATGTTTTATTTAAAAACTTGTAATGTTAAGTATTTTTTCTAATGTTCCTTTTACTGTTATTAAACAAATAATTCGAAAAACCTCAGATTCGAAAGATTCGAAAAATGTTTCGGACTCAGATTCGAGAAAATTTTAAATTCTTCCATCTTTTGTAATTAAACACTGGAAAACGTATTGCCGTTTCTACCCTTCATGAAATTTGTTTCCGTTTTATGTATAGTACATACTTTGAATATTTTCCTGTCGTTCTTTCTTTAGTGATCCGGAAACAATTCTCATGATTTATAGCCCATATAAGCAAAGCAAATAAATACACGAATCTAGGTAACAAATCTAATACAAATACAACATTTCCTGAATAAATCTGCAAAGCATTCTTTATTAAACGATTGTTTATTAAAGTTTTATAAATAGAATAATTCACTAGTGGTATATTTATATGTCAAAGCTCTTCAAAATGATGTAGACAAACACCCATATATTAAAATATAAAAACTATTTATGCGTAAAGAAATTGTATGCTTTAGTTTCATCTATTTCTATGCTGGTATGAAAATTTATGTGATATTATTTAGCGATTTAAATTATTTAGACATGCTATTCATACTTTATGAATTATTTTCATCACGTCTTGAATCAGTTAATCATAACTAAAGCTTTATTACTTTTAGCATGTTTTTAAACTGAAGGAAAACTGCAAGCAGTATATTTTATTTTACGTAAAAGGGCAAAATATTTGCATTTATAGTGAACGTTATGATTTAATTACTGAACATCGTAAAATATTTTAATATTTGAAACATTACGTTTTTAATCATAAGAGATCATTTTACTACTAGACATTTATATTCAAATCACTAAACTTAATAGATTTGGAGATAAAAGTAGCAAGTCATGGCTGCCGTTGCAAATCATGCATTATGGGTAGAAGCACTAAGGAGGCATGACCGTATCCGCAGAAGGCATCATCCAGAATTTAGAAAAAGCGTTAAACGTGGGTAAGGCATTTTACGAAATCGTTTATATATATTAAGCTAAACTGCTAACCTTATAACTTTTTTATTAAATAATATCAACTACTTCCATTTTTGTATCATTTTAAAAACCTTATTTGTTAATAAGTTTGATTACTCTAAAATTCGACTTCCACATATCGTTACTAATAGTAGAATATACCATTCACAAAATCAAATATTTTCGAGACACACGGAATTACACGTCAGTACGCGCCTCTGTTGACGAATAAGGTCCTAATCACATTATGTTTCAGCTACGCGGGACTTGACATCGAAAGGAACAATTCTCAGAGCGCACACAATTCCAGGAAACCCACGTAGCTAAGTTACTATTTTCACTTACTGCAAAGACTTGAACACCAAACATTAATCGATTATCGCTCAGAATGGGATCACGTGATCATTCAGAAGTAGAACTTTTGTCTGATTGGTTGTCTCTATCCAGGACAGAGCTCTAGCCGAGACATTTTCGGTGAGGTTTGAAAAAAAAATTCCGGGAAGCTACAACATCGTTTCCGTAGCTAGGCGGGACTTCGCTTCAAGCGTGGCTCTTTTTTCTAGAAATCCTTCCGTTTCAACCAGTGCTACTAGAATCGTATTTCTCAGAAAAGTTCTGTCTAGCAGAGATTGTATCCATATGTGATAACCTCTTAAGAAGAGTTGATGAGAATCGTTAAATTGAGGAGTTGGTATACCATCGATTAACATCATCAATCTCTTCAAATTCGCATCAGTACATCGAATGCATTTAATTGCCTTTTTCTTCGAACTGTTGAGTTTATATATAATTCATTCTTATCACAGCTTTCCAAGTCAATCTCTTTCACCAGTTGCCATTTTATTGTTTCAAATTTAGATGATGCCGGACAAAGGCGTTACCAAAATGTGAAGAATTTAGAAATTTTCACGCTAATCGTGAAAGGTTTCAAATCGAAAATCGTCCATAGAAGAAAGAAAATTAACCTTACTTCTATATAATCATAGTCAACTTTCGAATCTTATTTTTGAGTATATGTAATATAAAGCAAACTTCCTTTTAAATCATAATTAAAGCTGAAAGAAATGGATGTTTGCGAAACGGTGTAACAACTAGCCATGACATTTTATATGAATTTTAAAATGTATACATAAAACATTCTTTAATTGGGATGTTTTGAATGAACTACTTCTTTCAACTGGAATTCTGTAATTTGTAGCATTATAAATCATAAAACGGAAAATATTTTTGAAAATTATTAAGGAGTCAAGAAAAATAATCCAAAATATTTTTGACAGTAATCTAACTTGAAAAAAAAATGTCTCTGGAAATGTATTCGAAATTAAAATCAACAGAATAGGAGAACATAATTGTGCGGAATTAATAAATTAGATTTCTTCTGCAAAGACATAAGGTATTTAAGTTCCTTGGGTAAAAGAAAATGTGGAAAAGTAATATGTTAATTCCATTTCAATAACACAGTCAACAATCGGAGCTTTATCACATGTTCCTAGAATTTATTATTTGATTCTGTAGAATTTATTTCTTCCCCCAAGAACTACATTTTGCCACTGGCTCGCATTTCAAAACTTTGTTATTTTATTCACTTTGATTTTCACTTCCGAATTTATACGAATTTATTCCTTACAGATATTCGAATGAATTCTAAGTAACCAGGGTTTAATAAATTAACCAGGGTTTAATAAATTAATTTTTTAATTTTCTGGAACTGGGAATATAATTTTTTTATTTTACAATCCGCGATTACTTTCTGGCTTGACCCTGTTTACAAAACGCATTTAAAAATTTCTGTTAATTGCTTATATTCAATTTGAATTCATTCTGCTTCTTATCTGATAAGATTTCCGCTTCAGAATATGATATAAACAAATTCTGTGCATAATCGTAACACCGAAGATGATTTTTTATGGGAATTATTTATTATTTAAAGAAAATTTAATACATTTACTGTTTCTGTCTACCTTTTTTTGGCAAACGGCTTGTTCCTGCTCGAGTAGACCCTTGTCTCTATTTAAATTTTGTAGCATATCACCTGCCTAATACTTGGGCAGGTTTCATATGTATGATATATTTCATGATAGGTTTAATATTTTAGCTATTATGGAATTGGAGTTAAACAAAGCTAAAACAGACCCACTATAGTAGCATTTTGGTTTATTGCCTAAGTATGGGATTTCTTTATTCTGATAATAGGCTGTTTGAAACAAATTTTCGATCTTGAGCAATGCTGCTTTGCAGAGCTCTTAAGGAAAGTAGAATCTTTCCAAAACATACTGAATCGATCAGAGGAAATGCAAAAAGAAGAAAAACTGTCTAATTCTCAAGTATATGACTCCACTTGGAAAAATACACCGCAATAGAAACTTCACTTATTCAAAACATCAGGTATCACGTACTGCAATAGCCTAAAAGGTGCTACTGTTGGCTGTTCTGATTCCTACATCGTCTTTAAATTGCTTCAGGTACACTTTTCTAAACTTCTTGCCATTTGACACTTAGTTCTTATGATTTCACTCTAAGCTTTCACTACAACTTCTTTGGTTATTGCCCCGCTTTTGAAAATTTTATATTAAACTCTGACTCTTGTTGACTTGACGCACTGCTTCCTCTCGTTTTGAATAAATTCCGCTCTTTTGCTATTGCACCCAATTACGAAAAAAAGGTTATGGGTAACAGGTACGAGTCTTGTTATTATTATATATTATGCATAACGGTCTTCATAGAGATCTTTTCTTTTTTCAGTTTTAATGTCAACTTTTGTCAGATTTAAAAGTATGATGTGTTTATTGTTTCGGTGTTGAAACTCTCCATTTTTTATTTTCTGATAGCTTCGATCGTAACATGGAACTCACAATTACCAGTCAGAATGCTATTACTACAGGCAGATCTGAATTTGTAGTTAAGCTTTATTTTTTAAACATCTCAGTTTACAGATGCCAAGAATTTCGATTTACATATATCTACGAAAGGCTAAAATTTTGTTTCATTATGCCATCTCTTGTAAAACTTAAATTGTCGAGATGCAAAATTTTCAGCTGTATGTAAAGTTTTGCTTCATCTACCGCTTGGGATCTTAATTGTTTCAATACATTTACTTCTTTGTGTCAAAACATTCCTCCGAGATTTGTTTGTTACTTGAAATTAATTGCTTATTAAATTAAAGTTATTTTTCTGAATAATATGAATATGAATGTCAGTGTTAATCATATCAGACAAATCCAAGAATTTTTTAAACAAACATATCTCGGTACTTTCTAATTATCTGTACCCCCTCGATAGGTGTCCGCCGATAACATCGCGGAGAAAACTACGCAAGGCGAAAACGTTGTGCTACAAAACATCGTGGGAGAAAACATCGCAAAGAGAAAACATCGCAGTCCTAAAACATCGTGGTAAAAAACAGCGTCGTCGAAAATAAAGCGCTTCAAAAACTTCGCAGTTTAAAAACATCGTCGTCGAAAATATCGTGGTAAAAAATAAAGTATCTACAAATCATCGCATGACGATAACATCGCAGACATGCTTTTTCAAAACATGCTTTAATAACTGTAAATGAATATTCCCATAATGATTTGTGAGCGCAAAATGTAAAGAAGGATATTTTTACTTTCACATTTTTTATTAACTAATAAATTTTTGCTGAAAAGTAAGAAGGAAACTTAAGCATAGAAAATTAAATGCAACTTATAGTTTATACGTTTCATCATGAAAAATTACCAGTAAAAACTTTATAAAAAATGATTTATTAATGGCCTTTGTTAGTTAACTATGTCGGTTTAAAATTCTATTAATTGCTATAAGTTGCATTAATTTGCTATGTTTAAGTTTCCTTCTTACTTTTTCAGAAAAATTTATTAGTTAATAAAAAAATGTGAAAACAAAAATTATCCTTCTTTTATATCTTGCACTCACAAATCATTATGGGGATATCCATTTACAGTTATTAACGCATGTTTGCGAAAAGGATGTATGAAAAAAGCATGTCTGCGATGTTATCGTCATGCGATGATTTGTAGATACTTTATTTTTACCACGATATTTCGACGACGACGTTTTTAAATTGCGAAGTTTTTGAATCGCTTTATTTTCGACGACGATGTTTTGTACCACGATATTTTAGGAATGCGATGTTTTCTCTTTGCGATGTTTCCTCCCACGATGTTTTGTACCACGACGTTTTCGCCTTGCGTTGTTTTCTCCGCGACGTTTTCGTCCACGATGTTTTTGCCGCGATGTTTTCGGCTGTAACCCCCTCGATACCCGCCAACTAATCGGCTACTGCATGAATTGGGAGAATCATTTGTTTGATTACGGGGGGGGGAGCACAAGTTACAATTCTATTTCTAAATAATAACAAAAAGAAGCATTTTTTACAAAAACAAGAAATTTTATAAAGTGCTTACGTATTAGAGCAACCACCTTGGCGTAGTTTCGCGATTTTTTACAGAAATAAAGGTGAGTCAGTAAATTTTCGAAAGCAGCTTACAGTAGATATGGTTACCTAAAGAACTGTTATGCGCATGATTGCTACAGTTTAGTGATTCCTGAAAATTTGGCGACTTCTACTAAGGTGTCTGCAATAATACGTAAGTAACTTTTATAAGAAAAAATAAAAATCCATATCGATTTTTATATTTTTACTAATGCTGGTCAGTGACATAACGGTTAAAAATAAACCACTTTATATACGTATTACTCAAACATGGTTCATGTTACGTTCATGTGTACGTAGATATTGTTGTGTGTATGCTCGATAATACACCAGTAACATGGGAATGCTATAAAATCTTGAAACCTAATTGCCAGCTGATAGCCAGCTGAACACTCACAGCTCAAAAGCCCAAAACAGCCCCGAAACTGCTTATGGTACTACAATGGAAGCAGTTACTCAGAAAATACCTATTTCTGTACACAATGATTCATTTCAATATTTTGGTGTGTAGAAAATAGGTGTATAAAGTATGTACTAAAATCATACATTTAATGCAGAAGTCACATTAATAAAACCGAGAGATTGCATGAAGAACGTTGCCATATGTTTAACAAATGTATTTGATTGGGAATTAAACAGAGATTTTTAATCTTAATAAAAAGTCGTTCTTTATATTTAATGTAAACGTGAATTCTTAATTTAAATGTTAGAGACTTATTACTTAAATTATTTCAATTAGACATTTTACTTAAATTATTACTAATGTTATTGTGCTAAGTTTTGTTAATTTCTGTTACGTTTAATGCTCAGTCTGGGAATTTTTATTCTTTGAATTGAATATAGTATCGTTAGGTTATATTTAAAAATACTTTTCAAACTTTTCATTTATAAACAGGGACAGTACATTAACCAAAAAGGCAACTAAAGAGCCTAAACGGAAAGTATCACCACCGCAATTACCATTACAGTTGTGTTTCGCTGGTATGAATCAACAACCATTTTCTTCGCATGGCGATACTCTTGTTGACTTCAGAGAGGATCGCTGTAAAGAGTGTGGTGGCAATTTAACAGTGTTTTGTTACACGTGTTGCCAGTGTGGCTGTAGACCAAGTAAACCTGAAGAGATAACATCCCATCAACAAGCAATCATCTGCTGTCCAGTAATTCCACCAGTAAACAGCAACGTATTGCTTAAAAGTCATTACTTATGCAAGATGGGATGCGTCTGTAAGAACTGTCCAACTGAAAGAATTCCATCTTGCATGTGTGGATGTAATTCTAAAAGAGGTGAGAGAGCTAAGTCTTACTTGAATTACTGATTAGAGAAAATTCTTTAAATCTTTTACTGATATTTATGCACCAAATTGAATTGAATTTTAATTTTGTTTCCGATACATTTGGTTCAAGAAAGTATATGCTTGGTATGAAAATAATATATCAATATGCACAATATTTGATAATGAGGACATTTCTTTTCGGCTTAAGAATTCATACAGTATTTCATGCACAAACCAATAAAATTGCTCATATGATAACTAAAGTTTTAGAAATTAGCTTTTACGTATATTATAAGTGGAGAATTACAAACTGTTTATATTTTATAGTTTTAACAATCCTTGTTTTTAAATTTATAAAACAAAGTAGAAGCACTGTTTATGACAAACATATAAAAAAATCTTTTATTAGAAATGCATAGCTTAAAAGTGTTTACTGATTACATTTTATTAAATTAAAATGAAATTCCTTTTTCTAAATTCAAATGCGACATAAATTGCCATCTATTTGCTTTCGATTAAATAATTCTAAAAATTAAAAAAGATATATTTACTTAATCTAATTAAAAACACTTGCACACATTTTTATAGATTTCAGTCGAAGGTTTTAAAAAGGAAATCTTTATTATCTTTTTATCAGTCTAATATTTAACTTCTCAAATGGCTATCCAATTAGCATCTCGGATCATTACACTCATATGCTTTGAATCAGATTTTATAATTACAGACACTGTAAAGATTATTAGATGTTTGGAAGCAGGTAATTTAAAAAATCAGATGTTCCATCTGCCAAATTCAGATCATGAGTCTTCTAATTTTTATCTTCTAATTTTTAACCAATTGCACCGAAATAAAACGAATGAGAGACATCATAATTCTTTACATTCTCCGCAATCAATGGGCGAATACACAGAGCCACGACACCCAGTCAACCAGATCGAAATGTTGACAGGTTATTGTCTATCGCAATTTTTAAGAAATTTTAGGCTTATTTGGAAACTGAAAATATAAGACATTAATTCTACCCTGTCTGAAATTCGAAATAGGATATTTCAAATTGCCAGCTGAATCTGCTAACCACTTACAGTTCAAAAGCCCAGAAACTGCTTATGGTACTACAATGGAACTTTGATTATCCATCACTCTCAAGATCGTCATCGTGAAGGACAACATAAACCCCTCTACTAGATATGGGCAGTCTTACAATTGGAAAGCGTGTTATCCCTTACCTCATAATACCTTGTTTAGTTTAAGTAAAAATCATTATTAGATTTAGAAACTGGTCACATTACAACTCCCTAGCTTGTAGTAATGCATAACGTACTTAAATTAAATTCAAAAGTGTCCATCAACCGCAATATAAACATCAAATGCTCCCACAATATTATAGTTTTCAATTTAATTTAAAATAAAATTGTTTTACAGTTTTTTTATTTTTTTTTATTTTTTATTTTATTTATTTATTTTTTTTTTGTTGTTGTTATTGTTGCTTTACGATATATACACTTTGTAGCATAAAAGCTACGCACAAGGCAGAAGTTATCCAAAATGCTCGAAAATCGGTAGATGTGATGGCTTTGATGCAAGCTTTTATTCGGTTGTACAAAGAGTCGTAAACTTGACGGAAGTCCTGCGAGACAGCTTGCCATATACATTCCAGTTAACAAGTTAGATCGGCACGATCCAGGAATGGTCAGAGACGCATGCTCATCTCAGCCCAAATGCCTACTGGGAAAAGATCTGACGATCGCACCGGCCAGGAAAACATTGGAAGAAAGTATTGGAGAAAGTGTTGGCGAGAGGGCCGGATAGGAAACTGTTGGATCACGACAATAAGCAGTCGAAAGGCATATTGTGTACGGCTGGGGGTTATCCTCTTGAAATAAAAGCACAGGGGTCTGTAAAAGAAGGAAAACACTACGAGATGTAAAATCTCATAGACGTACCGCCATACTGGGGTGCCACAGAAGACAACCAAATGAATACGGCTATCAAATAAAAGGGCTATCTGTATCGTGACTCCTGGTTGTCGGACGGTGTTACGGACGACAGTCCCATTATCATCGCACTGATATCTTGGAAGTCTTCAGACACGTTTCTGCTGGTCATTGCGGTTCAATTCGAAGCGGGACTCATTGCTAAAAGCAATTCTTCTCCAAGCTGCAAGATCCCAGGTCGAATATGCCCTGCTGGCACATTCGACTTGGCTGTGTGCAACGTGTCTGCCAGTATGCAACGGTGAAAGGTAGTCGGCGCAATGAGCTCCGTGGCCGCAGCGTGCTTTCGCTGAGTCTTATATCAAAGGTCATTGCAGTCACTGGTGTCGCAGTTACCCGTCGGTTCGTTGATAAGAACGCAACAGGGGCTGTGAATGCTGGTCGCTCTCTGCCGACCGCTACCTTCTTGACGCTCTGTACGCCATGGTTCACTCATTCCTGTAAAAAGCGTCAAATTGTAGCAACGATTCAAAAGTGTCTAGCTATCTTGCGATTTGATCACTCTGCTTTAGTCTAACTGCACATCTGCGCATACTGCTCGCGAAACACTGGTACAATCCATGTGGGTCAACGGAACCCTATTCGTTTGGAAATTATGCATTAGCATTGGAATGCCCTGTGTTTTATACACCACCCGGACGCTTCATTGCAGTGCCTGGAGCTACAGCTAGTTAGTCATTGGCCGCCAAAAGTTAATCGTTTGCATAATTTATCATAATTTATGAACATACATAATTTCGTCCCATTTGGATAAATCCTTCTTGGTGGTTCGATTTTTATGTTATAGGGTATCTATTTATAATATACATATATATACATAATTAAAAAACAATTCTTTTGAAAACAAAACACACACATGGTTTTAAAAATTTGAGAATTGTCCATGATGAAAAGTCTGCAATAGAATTTTTTCGAAAATGCATCATTCATTATAGAAAATTATGTTTGAAAACCAACGAGATGAAATTAAGTTTTAGCGATACTTTGGTAGCGAAATAGCGATGCAGGAATCTATTCAGTTAGGTTTAGCCTTATTTTTATATAAATTATAACAATGATCTGAAATAGTTATTTACTCTTATGCTTCCATTCAGTTATGTTTAGCCTTTTACTTCCTTGTACGAAGTAAAAAGGAAGTATTGTAATCGCGAAAAGCTTCAGGCAGCATATTTCAACGAAAATATCCACTTTGACCGCTTTCGAATGCAATTTAACGATGTTTTTGCGTGATATCTATACGTAAGGACAGAATAAAAGACTCTTTTCCTCGAAAAAAACTAAAAAACTGCTTTAAAATGAATTCTGAAGAGAATTTTTCGTGGCGTCTGTACGAACGTATGTACGTACGTACGTATCTCGCGTAACTCAAAAACGAGTAGCCTCAAAACGTTGAAATTTTGTATATAAGGCTACTATAACATGTAGATGTGCACCTGGTATTCTGGTTTCAATCGGCCGCGCCAAACGTATATAAATATATTCAGTGTTCTCAGTTTCTTTACTCTTATATTTTTGTAAATTGTACATTTTTTGGTTTAAAAATGATTGAATTATGTTGTTTTTATCTTCCGGTTAAAGTTTTTATGCCTTTCGTAATCCTGAAAGCAATATTTGTACAATTATCAACAATTTAAAAGCTGTTTAAGTGCGGTTAAATTTTAAATAACATGGCGGACATATTTATTTACATATGTATTTTTGCCTTGTCGCGAAGTGAAAACTGAATGAATTTAATGAGAAATACTCAATCGTCTGTAAAAAACTGTTTCTTTTTCATTTTGTTTGCTTAATTTCTTTTATACATCGTTCTAGCTTTGTTATAGTATTTGAACAGAACATGTGGCAACGATTAGATAATTCTTCAAATGATATAAATTTTGTGCATTCTGAGTTATAATATGAACGAAATATAATACTGTCAAGTTAACGTAGCGACAGAGTGTCGCTATGGTAAACAAAGTGAATTTTAAAGAATGCATTTATTCTATTGTGGTTTATGCGCTGTCGGCGAAGTAGGTTTAATTTAATCTAATAAGTTAAATGAAGTGCAAGAAAAAATGCGTATAATTTAATATTCCGTACAAGGAAGTCATGTGGTGTACACATCATATTTTTTATATAAATTATAATAATAAAAAAGTATTATATGAAGTTAACTTTTCACATAAATTAAAATAGTAATCTTTAGATAGTTATTTCCTGTACTTCCCTTCTTGCGTTAGGGTTGCCGCAATTATTTTTGGTAGCACTAGCATCAACAATAGCTTGGCGATTTTTTACGGTCCTCAAAACGGAATAGTACCTTAATTTTAATACTTCTGAGTTCTTGAAATCCTTGTTCGGCTATCATTATGTAATTTTTATAGTCATTCTCTTGATAGTCTTTTGAAAAACTGCTGTATTTAATATAAAACCAAAAATATTTCCTTTACATATCCATAGAAATTCTTTTAAAATTAGTTATTAACTCATTATAAAACAATTCACACTTTCTTATTTTAAAGAAATGTAAATAGATCTTTAGAAACCAATAAAGTAACAAAAGATAGTGCCATAAGAAAATATGATAAAAAAGAGCAGGGTCTTTGCAAGCGAATTACACAAGCGAAAGACAGTACAACTGAAAGACCGCATAACTAACTTACTACTTGCTTGTGTAGACAGCGTAACTAACTTACTACTTAAATAGAATATCACATAAAAGCTTCCGTTCTTACACAAGATAACTAACTGGCCTTTAGAACTAGATTATCTAATCATACGAATCTTCTAACTCCCTGCAGACTTTTCATGTTACATCACACAAAGTTCGCAACAATTTGGTTTACGTGCAGTTGCTTTTACAACTCATATTTTGAAGCTGTTCAAGGTTGACAATGCAAAAGCATGGTGAGATCCATAAAATGCTATTCTGCTGATAATTTGGACGCATTACGGAATCCATGAATAGATGTCGTTCTCACAATCCGGAAGCACTGTAGAATTTTTCATCAACATTTCGGTTGGTTCTATACGAATTTGTTTGGCTGTTCTACGACTCTTGTCTACCAAGTATATGGTTAAACAGATATAAATCCTGAAATTTGTTCATAAATCCTAAATATCCTGAAAATTGTATTTACTCCTTAATATAAATCCTGTAATTAAAATTACTGTTCTTACAACCGTATCAATTGAAACTGAATATGCCATTTTCAGCACAGCCAAATTTCATGAAAAGAATTTGCAGAGCCAATATATATATATATATAAATCCGAAAGCTTTTAGATTTGACATTACGCCCAGAGGGGTGTTTTTTTAGCGTTTTGTGTGTTACATTTATTTATTAAATATCATGTTTTCGTATTTAAACTACAAAATTCAGTTCAACGGCAATATTGCAAAATAATTTTAAAATGAGCATATCTTTAGAATTTCCATACACAATACACAGTCTCGCGCGGTGGAGATAAAAATGTTTTTGTTGTCGCACAGTGTTGCCGTTGCTCGCTTTAAAATCGTTCAGTTTGATAATCAAAAAGTTGTTAAAGTTTTACAAAATGTGAAATAGATAATAAAGCAAATTCCAAATTTGGGCTTCCAGATGCCATATTCGGGTGGAGACGTACGTTATTCAAAATTTGATGGCTCTAGGAACCGTTGTTTTATCACAGTGCGAGAAATATACATGATTTATGCAGATTCTTCATCATTTAATTTCTTTAATACAGGGCTCTAATATTTGGTGGCAACAATTTGGAAAGTGAATCAATGTTCATAGTGAATGAACGCAAAATGCCAAAGCGAAATTAATAGCTTTTATGGGCTAACATCCATTTGGGCTAAAAAAAATGGCTGATCAGTTCTACATTTTCAGACTCACCGAGCTTATGTTTCTCCTCTATTTTTGTGATTTAAGCTTTGCTATCATGTTTCTGATAGTGATGACTTCTTTTTGAATACACTAGTAAACCAATGGATAAACCTATTCTTTACGTAAGCCAATGGGTAAACCTATTCTTAGACATCATATAATACTGTTAAGAAATGTACAGGCGCGGTGGGATAGCTTTCCCGCAAAGCAGGTTTAGGGTTGCCATAAAATAGCAAGGAAAGGCAGGGGTGCCACATTTGGTGAGAAATCGCTCGTTTTGCGACATTTGGTGACCAAATTGACGATATACCATGGACGGATGGAGACTCTAGAATGCGAGATAGTGACTCTCGAGTGAGTCAATCCCTGCGGAGTCGATCGAATTGACAGCCGGGCAGCGAGTGCCGAGTGGGTCGTCGATTGCACCGAGTGTATCGCGGTTAGTGCATCGTCGAGAGAGCTTGTTGAGCTCTGGGAACGACTGAGCCGAAGAGTCAGGAGCTGTGCTCTGCGTGTCGTCGAGTGCATCGCGAGTTGTAGCGTGGAGAGTCTGGAGAGTACGTGGAGTTCCGAGAACGACCGAGCAGAGTCGGGAGCTGTACTCTAGTGCTTTGCAGTAAAGCTGTCTCTACCGTGATAGCCTGATAGTGTGAAAGCTGTGTAGCTGATTGTGCCAGCATGTTTATAACAGTTCGACAACTGTAAACGAGATTTTGGAGCAGTCCTGATTAATACCGGCTAATAAACATCATCAAGTAGTGTCGTCATTATTCACTCCAAATCCCTACGAACCCCGCACGAACGTAACAGAAGAAAATAACGTAACAACTGGTGTCAGAAAAGAAAAAAATGTAACAATACTAATATGCAGAAAAGCGAAATTTCGAATTACGATGAAAATCTTTTTTAATAAATTTTGCATTTCCAAACCTTATTCAGAGCGTCGAAAACAGATTCATATCTGTCCCTGAACTATTCATTAAAAATACAGTTTTCTTTTTGTACGGTTTTAGTATAATCTGAACAAAAGATGACACTTGGAAAAGACAACAGAAAGATGATTTTATAATTTTACTTTTATTACATTCTTTATCTAATGGAAATTTTATTCTGTTAAGATTGATAATGTTTAGATAGTTTTGGAGGTTTTGTAGGATTTTATTTTGTTCTAAAATTGTACTATAATGAGATACTTTAGTTATTTTTGCGAGAAAAAATGTAATAATAATGTTACGTTTTAAAAGTAAAGTTGTTATATGTTCCTTAATTTTTTTTGTTTTTTGTTTTTGTTTTTTTAGGTTCATAATACATATTTACAAGTAATAGAAATTAGTCATAAATTATTTTTAACATAAGAATAATTAATAGTTAAAATTTATGTTTTAAATATATGTGCATACGTGAATCATAAAACAATAAATTTTACACTTTTCGCAGATTCCTCGGCAAGACAAGAACAACATCAAAGAGCGGTAAGGTCTTGTAAATGCAAGTGCAGATGTAAATAAATTTTCACTGACGCATAAAATAAATCTATTTTTTTACTTATTACTCGTTGTTACACTGTATAAAAGCTAAATGGTATAGGGAACGAAAAAAAAATTACTGATCATGAAACTTTACTCATCTTTACTGGCCATGAAACATAACTAAGTCCGATAATGTGGAAATGGATTGAGATCGTATTTTGCAAAACATATGCTTTTATCATATTTTTATTGTAAATAATACAACTGTATCATTCTATCTGGAGTCGTACTAATTAGTATTGTAGATCTTCAATTCCATACAGTTCGTCTGGTATTATTATGTTAATGATCTTCTTTCCTTACATTCGAATACAATTGATAGAAGCAGAAAATTATGAACATTAGTTACGTGTTTGGTGTCCGCCGATAACATCGCGGCAAAAACATCGCGGACGAAAACGTCGCGGAGAAAGCAACGCAATGCGAAAACGTCGTGCTACAAAACATCGTGGGAGAAAACATCGCAAAGAGAAAACATCGCAGTTCTAAAACATCGCGGTACAAAACATCGTCGTCGAAAATAAAGCGGTTCAAAAACTTCGCAGTTTAAAAACATCGTTATCGAAAATATCGTGGTAAAAAATAAAGTATCTACAAATCATCGCAGGACGATAACATCGCAGATATGCTTTTTTCAGGTTTTAATAATTGTAAATGGATATTCCCATAATGATTGTGAGCGCAAGATGTAAAGAAGGATAATTTTTACTTTCACATTTTTTTATTAACTAATAAATTTTTGCTGAAAAAGTAAGAAGGAAACTTAAGTATAGAAAACTAAATGCAACTTATAGATTATACTTTTCATGAAAAATTACCAATTAAAACTTTACAAAAAATGATTTATTAATGGCCTTTGTTAGTTAACTATGTCGGTTTAAAATTCTATTCAGTGCTATAAGTTGCATTAATTTTCTATGCTTAAGTTTCCTTTTTATTTTCTCAGCAAAAATTTATTGATTAATAAAAAATATGAAAGTAAAAATTATCCTTCTTTCCATCTTGTGCTCACAAATCATTACGGAAATATCCATGTATAGTTATTAAAGCCTGAAAAAAGCATGTTTGCGATGTTATCGTCATGCGATAATTTGTAGATACTTTATTTTTTACCGCGATATTTTCGACGACGATGTTTTTAAACTGCGAAGTTTTGAAGCGTTTTATTTTCGACGACGATGTTTTGTACCACGATGTTTTAGAATTGCGATGTTTTCTCCCACGATGTTTTGAAGCACGACGTTTTCGCCTTGCGTTGTTTTCTCCGCGACGTTTTCGTCTGCGATGTTTTCGGCTGTAACCACGTGTTTTGGTAACCTATAGCCTGGAACTAATTAATAAAATAACCAAAACAAAAATATTGATACTGGGGGGCCAAACAAACATCTCCGTACTTCAAATATATATTGAAATATAAAGTAACTTAAAATAACTAATTGAATTATTGAAAGGGAAAAAGGCCTTGATACATATTTATTCTTAACTACTAATGAAAAAGCTGTTTTAAGAAGATTGTGAAGAAAAGTTTTCATTTCCCCTAATATAGTTTACTTATAATTGTGATATTGTAAAAAATGAAAATGTGTAACTCGTAAATGGGAATTTGTGGTTTGAAAAATTGTGAAAATTTTGAAAAATGTGCTGAATATTAGTTCAAAGTTATAATACCCTATGTCATCGAAGTGAGCTAAACCAACAAGAGGAAAATGTGAGTACAAATCAACAACGTAATGCCCATGTAAGTTGAAAAAATAATTTACATACTTATAAACGAATTATGAAATTACTGAAGAGAAAAAATAATTTGATCTATATCAAATTTTTTCTTTAATTATTATACCATAACGTGTTTTACTCATTGAGATAAAAATTAGCATACTAAAATAATGCAAATATATAATCAAAGCAAAAACAAACAAAAAAAAAAGAACTTTAATCCAGAAATTCAGTTGGATCTTTTTATTTTATTTAAACCTGGGCTAGATTGCAGGTGAACAGGCTGGCTGCATGGGCGTTTTCGTGTTTTTCGTTATGTATAACGGTGCATACAAGCCAGTTTCTGTTAGAAGGTCTTCCTCGAAGGCATCGTTTCCCTTAGGCAAATAACCTTAGTGAGCTTTGTCATAATCTCCAAACCAACCATATCTTTTTTTTTCACCTTGTAAGACTTTCACTGTGTAAATCTCAGTTACTGTAGAAAGTGATAAATCTTAAGAACTAGATAGCGAATAATCGCTTAATAATCGGATGACAAGAAACAACAAGATAGAAGGATAACTAACCTTTATTATTCCAATAAGATTTAACAAAACTCCGCCTGGGAGTGTACAAGTACTGCCGATACTTGGGCTTTAACTTAAGAGACTAAGAATTAAACTAAAACTAAGATTAACTAAGGAAATACAGCCGAAGCTATCAAGATTCAAATCGAGTTGGCCCTTTAACTTATTTGACTACGAAGCTTAGCACGGGCTTGAGTACGGCCGAGCGTAATAACAGCTTTGAGAGAGAGAGAGTGCCCAAAAGGGCAGACGCACGTAAATCAGAAACTCTGATTCTCTCTCACTCTGTAAGTAACTTCGTGGTTTAAATACCGCTTCTTCTCATTAAATATTCAGCAAGATTCCAAAACTACGTCTGGCCGGAAGTAGTAAGTTGAAGTTAAGAATTTGACTTTAACTTGGAACTTTAACAGGAAAGGAACTTTAACTTGAAATTTAACTGTTAATAAAATTAACATAATCCTTACAACCTTTTGGTACTTTTATCAAGTGCTAGTTATAAGTGTAATGTTTAGTGATTAATCTAAAGCGTTATAGGACAGATCAATTTTTTTTATATCTCATAAGACTACGATTTTTGGTGTATATGATATTTCATCTAAGTTTATCAATAAAATTCGATATGCAAAGCGTTTAAATGATATAACTCGAAAACTAATTATTCTGTTATTTTTAAAAAGACATATTATCTCTGAACTTCAAATAAATTCACTTATTTCAAGCTATTGAAGAACACTTCGTACGCCTTTGTCAGCAGCTGTCCCGAAAACTTACTGTTTGCTGCATATCAACGTATTACATTTTCAATCCTTAACCATATAAGGTATTTCTCCCTCTTTCCTAGCGTGTCTTTGTGGTGTAATGGATCTGCACGCTGGGCCGGTATTCCAGAGGGCCGTGGTTCGGTTCCCGGCGAAGGCGGTTGCTAATTTTTCAGTTCTGCTTCCAAAAAATACATAATGTCTCTACAACCATTAAACAATTATAATGTATTTTCTTCCTCTTTCCAGCATGCTTTGTGGTGTAATGGTAGCACACTCGGGCATATTCGAGAAGTCCCGGTTCGAGTCCAGGTGATGGTATTGCATATTTTTCACATCTCCTGCTTCAAAACAACCTAATGTCTCTATATAGTTAAAGGTTTTCATGCGATATAATTGGAGTTTTACTTCACAAATACTATCTATCATTATAATTGATCAACTGAAGGAAAGTGTTAAGTACCTAAATGCCATAAAAATAAAAGACTAAGCAGGAATAAAGTCAGATTTCACCAAGCTAAAAGCAGCATTGCTTTGAAAATGACTAACAGCCATTGCAAAGAAACCAGCTAGTAGGGTTATAGCCGAAAACATCGCGGCAAAAACAACGCGGACGAAAACGTCGCGGAGAAAACAACGCAAGGCGAAAACGTCGTGCTACAAAACGTCGTGGGAGAAAACATCGTACTTCTAAAACATCGTGGTACAAAATAAAGCGATTCAAAAACCTCGCAGTTTAAAAACATCGACGTCGAAAATATCGTGGTAAAAAATAAAATATCTGCAAATGATTGCATGACGATAACATCGCAGACACACTTTTTTCAGGCTTTAATAACTGTAAATGGATATTCCCGTAATGATTTGTGAGCTCAAGATGGAAAGAAGAAGAATTTTACTTTCATATTTTTATTAACTAATAAATTTTTGTTGATAAAGTAAGAAGGAAACTTAAAAAAAATTTTAAACCGACATAGTTAACTAAAAAAGGCCAGTAATAAATCGTTTTTTTATGAATTTTTACTGGTAATTTTTCATGAAAAGTACAATCTAAAAAGGATTAGAAAAAGGAAGGGAAGTAACAAAAAATTGCTTCTGTAAAAAATAAAAAAACTTTATAAGCAAAAATTTATTAGTTAGTAATAAATATGGAAGCAAAAATTATCCTTCTTTCCATCTTGAGCTCACAAATCATTATGAGAATATCCATTTACAATTATTAAAGCCTGAAAAATGTATTTCTGCGATGTTATCGTCATGCGATAATTTGCAGATATTTTATTTTTTACCATGATATTTTCGACGACGATGTTTTTAAACTGAGAAGTTTTTGAACCGCTTTATTTTCGACGACGATATTTTGTACCACGATGTTTTAGAAGTGAGAGGTTTTCTCTTTGCGATGTTTTCTTCCACGATGTTTTGTAGCACGACGTTTTCTCCGCGATTTTTCCGTCCGCGATGTTTTTGCCGCGATGTTATCGGCGGACACCGCTAGTAGATAGTCTTCGAAACACCTTAAGCATTAATTATTACTTTCACCATAAGCATTAATATTTCATATATGTGATTGTCATTGTATCGTCGATTGGTTCGACAAAAATACAATGGCAGTTGCTGCACTATTAAGGGGTTTTCTTATATTAGAGTGGTTTAAAATGCAATTATTTGCCTGTTTCTGATGACTTTCTTTCTCGTTCAAGTTTAGGATATTTCGCATTAGGGAACAAATATTTTCCCCATTTTCCATATTAAATAGTTTTTTCTGCCTTTATGTATAAATTCCTTATTTGAATAATTTTACTTTATATCACAAGTCATGATACCAAAATCAAATCGGAAGACCTCAAAATCAAATCGGATGTTTGCATTAAAACGCCTGATTAAAGCCTATAATGATTTGTGCGGCTCCATTAAGAAAGTATATATACATGCATCTTGGAACCTATCCAAGAAACTAAGGCAATATGTCATAA